CCCCACCCCTTCCCCCAAAATATTCGATGTTGAAACATTTTGATGTAATTCAAAAACTAGTCCCAAGCAAAGACCATTTTAACAACAAAAAGCACTATAAGTGTAAAAACGCGATCTTAAAACAAAAAAATCACCATTTTTTAAATTTTCCAAAACCTATGTGTCAGAAACTGGTTGCCATGGCAACATGATTAATCACATGGACATGATAATTATACCAAAATGTTCCTAGATAAATTTTAGAAAAAGTCAGAAAATTTGAACGTCATAGCTCTTTCGGTGTAGGAGTTATCACGATTTTGCCGGAGGGGGGTTCTAAAAGCCCCCAGTCTGAATAGGGTTAAAGGTCATGTGAAAATCGCTCTATAGACATCAAATTTAACACAACGCAATGATTTAGCAGGCAAAAATGTTCAATACTTAACCTTTTAAAGCGAAGGATGACAATGATAATGACGAGGATAATTAACGGCAGACCACCGCCTCCTGCAACGCCGGCAATCACCATCTTTGTCTTGAATGATAATCCTTCAACAATATATCAAGTAATTACAGTGGAAAATACCTTTTAAATGAGGATAGTTTGTGAAAATACTGTAAAAACAGCCAGTTTTAATCCTGTTCATTTCAAATCACAATTTAAATTGAACTGCCTCTTAAACCTTCTTCAAACATGTTTTAACTATGCTATTTATGAGCTGTTTAAGGTCGTAGACGAGAAAGTATATTCAACGTACGCCCAGAACAGAGGGGTACAAGAGACTCTGCACAATGACAATTGAAATGCTGAAACGGGCAATATTAGAACTGGGGAGATATTTCCGTTTTTCTTTCCTCTTTATAGGTAAGAGCAGACTTCCACATTGGCCGGAGCCTCGACAAATGCCAAACGCTGAAAGCGCTAAAAGTAGATGACGACCGGTAATTTTGTTACATGTGTTGCCGAAAATATCTAAAAAAAGTGATTTGAACAGATTCATTGTCAGTGCAACAAAAGTTGAACAATTAACATTACCAGACAAATTGTTTGGGATTGTAAATCTCTTTACGCCAGGTGGCCCTTGTCCGACGTGGTTGACGGCAGTTACCTACAAAAATAGAAAAAAAAAAGCAAATCGCTGACACATTTAGTTGACTTGTCGTGCCTTTAAAAGAACATAGCCACCATAGATTACCCAGCCAGTAACCAGGCCCTAAATAGTTCCAATGCTGTCGAAGCCTGAAATAAATAATCAGTCAGACGGCCAGGTGTTCGACCCAACACCGCCCGGTTAGCTCAATTGGATAAGCGTCAATCTGCCAAGCGAGATGTCGCGGTTCAAAGCTTGGCAGGTGCAATATGTATACAAAGAGATACTGATGCTGGTGCTGATGCTGCTGCTGCTGATGATGATGATGATGTCAGTTCGTCAATAAATCAACAGTCATATTCAGTAAATCAGTTCCAGGTTCTGTTACAGCAGGATGGTAGGAAAGGAAACAACTTACCTGGAACTCGTACGTTTTTCCGGCATTTAATTTTTGAATCCGTTGTTCTGTCTCTGGGGTTGTCAAACTTTCATCGTCAGAAGTGTCATCCACGTCAAAGTACGTCACCATGTATTTTTCTATTTTGCCATTTTTGCATTTTAGTTTCCATGACAATACGGTAGCACCATCTTCGGCTTGCTGTACAGACACTTCCGGTATGCCAGGAACTGTCGCGAAAAAGGCAAGTATGGATAGTTGTAAACAGGCGACACCACAAAAAAAGAAGAAGAAAAAACGAGGCTTAAAGGAGCAATGAGACATCTTTTGTATCTTCTCCAAGTGAATACCACTTTAGTAACATCATAAGAGCCCATCCCTCCGCTTTCAATGTGCATACTCTAGGAGAGGAGACTATGATTCCATCTTTCATTTTAAAGTTAAAAAACGCTAATCAACAAGAATGGTTAAATCGTAACACATTTCTACACACTTACCCTGAGATCAGGCTCTATTTTCGTTTCGCTTTGTACATGGCGAAACGAAAAGAGAGCCTGATACAAACCTTCTACGAAACGTCTGCAGCCCACTTTTTTGATTGATTGACATTTGCCCAATCAGCCAACCAAAATTACTTCCGTTGCTTGTTTTTCTAGTATGCAAATTTTTTACGCGTGGGAAAAATGCAGACTGGCTGACTTAAAAAAATAGCTTTTATCTCTTAATTTTTTCAGCTAAAAATAAAACAGTCAGCACAATCACATTTAACTTCTTGCGAGATTAAGGGAGATCTCGAATGTTATTTCTGTTGGCGTAGAAGATAAAAAGTTTTCGAAAAGACGGCGACACGATATTCTACTAGCTTCATTATTTTGGCTAGGCGCTCTGAAATTTAGAATACTGAAATCTCTATTTTTTCGTTGTCTTAATATTTTCCTCGGCAATTTCCCCCGATTTTCAGTACATAAATCTTTAAAGACAAAAGCAAACAGACAAAGAACGAGGACACCAGTTTTCTTGGTTTATTTTTTACAAAAAGCGAAAGCAAACAACCAGTCTGTGAACACTGAAAATTCCCTGAACAGCGATGCGATATTTTTCGTCTAATACTTCACAGTTGGCGATTGAGGTTTCTTTCGCAGTGAGCCTCCGCTTGCGCACCCCGTTCAGAGAAGTCATTCCCGGCTAAACTTTCAAACGAAACCAGTTTTAAGATGGACAGTATTTTGATTTGTACCCGTTTGTTGGTAAATCAAAATGCACCTTGTTCGCGGTCAACAACTTGCAGAGGGATTCAACTCCGCGATACACTCACTTTCCGTAAATAAAGCAAATCCTGACAAGATATGAACAACCATTTGAATTTTCTGACTTTCCACGGCACATATTAAGGCATATTTTCCTACCATAAGACCACAAAACAATAAAAAAGACAGCAAAATCGATCCTTCTCTCCGCCTCACGAAAACTTAACCACGCGAGGAATAAGCGCTTTCAACTTCCGGCGTTTCCGACAGCCAATCAGATCTTGTGGCATTATTCTAAAAGCCAATCAGCGTTTCGGCCAAAATCAGGCCCTAACGAGCATAAACGTGAATGAGTTTGTATCAGGCCCAATTTCAGAGGTAGCCGTTAGAGAGAATGTATGAGAACCGCTCAAATTGGGCCTGATCTCAGGTTACTGCACACTGAATTAAAAATAACCGTTTAGGTTTAAGGAAAAAGTGCAACAAAATGATGAACCAATTGGGTTCGATCGATCCTATCTTGTACCCCACGTGCAACGGGCTGTAGTCTGCCCACTGGAATACCGTCAGAAAGCATTACAAGGTGTCTTCCATGTTACGAAGAGACTAATGTTTGCCAGTGTAAATAAAGACTCACCATTAATATGCGTTAGGCCTGCACCGACATCCATATCCACGTATATCTGTATACCCGTACGAACGTTCAGAATAACTTTGATCTGTAATTATTCTCCTTACAACCAATTAACAGTCACGAAAGACGTGACAATTACACTAATAACCTATAGATTTTGTCTTAGCAAAATTAAACAAAGCCATTGAATTACCAGATCCCTTTGTTTTGAATGTTATTGTGGTGCTTCTTGCTTCAACCTTGTGTTTTCTTGCGGCTACCTCACTGACTCTGTTCTTGGCCACGATCTTGCAAGTGTAGCTCACAAACGGGGAAAGCAACCCTGTTGTCCCCGGAATCGTCATTGTAGTGGCGTAACTTTTGTTCATAAATACGAACCCTGCATTGTTATCACCACCACAGATTTCTTCAGTGCAGTTCTTGCCATCAATTTCGCAAGTGCGCTGACATTTAACTTCGTAGAATACTTGGTCACCAGTTATAGTGGGAGGCTGCCAGTTTATCGTAGCTGACGTTTGGTTGACAAAAAGTGTAACAACATTTCTCGGGTGTGATGGGATGGCTAAATAGGAGAAAAAGAGATAAAAGGAGAATTTTCAGACAATGTTACCTTTGTGAGAGACATAGCAAAATATCAGTCTTTATTGTTACTCTTCTGTTTTTCAGCGTTAGCATTGAATTAAACTATTTGATGCTGATTTACTTAGTGATTGTCATGAGTGAAACAATTGATCACGAGATTGAAACATTAACTCTTGAATTCATTCTTTTTCAAAATTTATTTTCAGAGTGATTGTTTATTGGTTGATCGCTTGATTGATGTATAGTATAGTTAGTAGAGTATTATAGTATGATCTTTATTGCGCCTAACTCTCCAAAGGGAGATATTGGTCTAGTTACGATAAAGGTTTTCTATTCACCACTACAACCAATTATCTAAAACATGAACAAAAACGATAACATTATACAGTATATACTATAACGATAATAATTGTACTATACGGTGATTGACTAATTAATTAGATTTTTTGACTTGATCTCTGTTTTCTTTTTTGAAACATTATTAGATGGGCATATTTGGCTGTAGCTTGAGAAGTAATGTTATTTTCTAATCTTAGTTAATATAAATATCTATCTTGATTTGTTAAATTGGTAGATTGACTAATTGATTGATTAATTGACTGACTGATTGATTGATTGATTGATTGATTGATTGCAAAAAACGGCGACTAGCTGACCATGACACGTTTCGAAGTCAAATCATGGGAGAACAAAAAACAAACAAACAAACAAACAAAACAAGTACACACCTGTACAGTTAAGTTCCTTTGCGTCATTGTAAGTCCCCTGTGAACAAGCTAAGATAAAGGAAAAATATAAAAGTTAAGAGTTTAGTAGTGCAGGCTACTGTATACATAGTGATTATAATTTAAAAGGATGTTTTAGCTATATTCAAATATGTATCTTCACATTACTGCGTCACCGACATCCTACAAGTGGCCACGGACCCGCTGCAATGCAGGCTATCAGTCTGTTAACGTCACAGTAAATGCAGTTCAGTAACGGTAGGTGGAAGCGTGACCCAGTTGTCAGCGCATCGGGCGCGCAGTCCGGCGGTCCCTGGTTAGAGTCCCGCTCTTGGCACTTGCAGAGTTTGTTAGACTCTGTCGTCCCGAGTGTACATCCTCGGGCACTTTAGCCGACTGGTTGCCTTCTGGTAGGTTTTGTTTTTTTTTTTTTTCAATTATTTGTTTTTAATTACAGTAATTGAATGGAGTACCTTGAAAGTAGCTGGGAAAGAAAAGTGCGCTTTAAACCTACAAACCTTTACCTTTTCAAATGCTACAGGGCAATCCACTGTTTTAGTATACACTAAACTCATTTATCTCATGTTCTGTTTCTTCTTGACAGTAAAAGCAGAATTTAGTCATACATGTATATATAAATTAGAGATTTTAAACTCACTATCATAACTATCATCACAGAACTCGAATCAGTATCTGATAAAATATCTTCGACACATTTTTGGCAAACCCAACAATAACCTTCAAATTCATGTTTTGTGTGAGTTTTACAATAAGCACAATATTTTTTTTCCATACTCATAGATTATATATTTTTTAAATACTTCTCAACAAATTTTTCATTTTTCATGGTATCATGTGTATCAAACACTTGCAGCAGACTTGCAAACACTTGTTCATCTCCTTCAAAAAGTATAAACAGAAGTAGCCGCAAGTCGTTGTATTGATATTCTGTATCTGATTGTTCTGGTACAAGACTGTAAGAGTCTTTCGTTTGGCATGATCAACAGTCTCTTGAAATGGTGGAGACATTCCAAAACGGTCAAAGTAATTGATGACACCATCTTTTACATATGTTGCAACCCAGTGAGATCCACTCATATAAGATGGCTCAAGATTATAAATAAATAATGCTTGTCTATGGTCATGAGGAACTGTATGATCTCTTGACAGCACCTCTTTTATAGGTATTTTCAAATATTTATACCATTCCAACAGATCATGATTACTCATTGGGATGTTTTGTGGAATTTAGGTTTTACAATATGAGGTTTAATAGAGGCACGTTTTTGAACGGTGAATTGGTTCCTAGTAGCAGACCTTGCCTCCTTTTTGATGTTCTGGTTTTGTCTTTCTTTCTTTCTTTCTTTCTCTTTTTCTTTCTTTCTTTTTTTTCTTTTTTTACCCATGCCAATCGTATTACCGCGCATCTGTTCCCATGTTCCAATAAAAGGAGGAAGTGGTTCATACATTCCAATACGAGGGGCTCCTATTCCTCGCTGAGATGCCTGTTGAATTGTGCTCCTACAAATGCTTCTAGGAACGCTTCTAGTATTTCTCCCTAATCTTGGTGCTTCCTTACCAGTTAATAGCCTCAATAGGTAATAGTATTCCTAAACTGGCTAAAATAGTCCCAAACCCATTGCCTTGATGTGTTTTGGTTAGTTTTAAATGAACACCTGAACCTGCTTCAAGAGCATTAAGAATATTCTGTTTCTGTTTTGTGTAAAGAAGATACGCAATCAAGTGATTGATTTTACTCTGCGGGATTAAAAAACCTCCTATTTGCCCTCCAGATATATATTTTTTGAAATTTATTCTGAATCAAGGAAAGTTTAGATTGCAAATTCTCCCAAAATTGGTAATGTTCTTAACCCACATGCCGCGTTACGCAAAAGCCTAGAAACTCAAACGTCCTCTATCGCAAAACGAATAAACGTTTCGAAGCAACACTTTGTTTAAATAAAGGTGTTTAGGTGCTGTAATACCTCATTATACTCAGAAACTCAGAAGAATCGATAGTTTCTTAGTTTGAATTTTGGTGACGTCATGTGAAATCCGAGAATAAAAGAAATATAATTCGGTGAAACATATACAGAGACAACACTTTTCATTCACGAAGACAAGTATTAAAAGTGTCTCTAAAACTCCAGAGTCTTTTTATGTTTTAAGCCAGCTTTCCGGTATTTCCTTTTTTAAAAGATGAATTAGAGGCAAGAAAATCTCTCAAACGTTTCTTTCACAGCAAGAATTATAACTAAATATTCTTTGGAACATTTTCTTTCTATTTGGGGGGAGAAAATGTCTAAAGGCTTTTTAAAGTTCTGTAAGCTCATATCAAACCTGATTCTCAGTCAGATCAAATGGTCTCGAATCTTACAAACGTGCATAAACTAGATAGCAGCATAAACCACGGTCGACTTCAATAAAATTAGATATATAAAAAACAAACATCAAGTACAATAATTACCCAGGCTTACCATTCGAGATGGAACTCCTGAAAGGTATCAAGTAAGGCAGTATCACTTCAGACTTTTCAACCCTTACGCATCAAGCAAGGTGAAAACTGAAAACGATGCCATCCGAAATCGGATTTCCGACTTTGACAAGTGATGTATTTCTCAACCATAAACCAACTAGCTATGAATAACAGAAGACTCCTACTAGCAGCTGAATTTCATTTTGTGCATCCAGTGGAAAAAGACAGGTAAAAACATCACAAGTTGACATAAAACTCTGTCAGCTTGAGCTGTCAAAGTAAACAATATTCAAGATTCTGCATAAATTTTCCGTATGAACTCACCTGTCAAATTTTGACCAATCAGAGCATAAAAATTGGAAGTAGAGT